CCCCCCCCCGATCTCGAGCTTCTGACCCCCTCCTCCCTTCGCGTGTCTCCATCCTTTTCTCCTGAACTCGGGCCGCTCTGTCCCCGAGCTATGTGCGAGGGTTTATCCCTCCCTTGTCCATTCGGCACTCCTCCGTCTGGTCCCCTCATTCCCCACCTGAGCCCCCAGCTACAACCCTTCCCTCCCCCTTTCTCTTTACCGTCCTGGTGAGGAGAGGGTTAAATCGAGCGGGGTCTGCTTCAGCCGCGCCCCCGCCCCCCCCCCCCCCCGCGCGTTCCCCTGGAATGTAGGGAATGTGCTCCTGGGGGGGGAGGGGAGAGACGGAGACCCGGGCCGGGCTCCCCCTCCCCACCCCCCACCTCTGCCGCCAGCGCCGGCTAGACTCCCGGGTTCCTAGAAGGCTGGGGTGGGGGTTGGACCAGATTCCTAAAGTACCCGACCGGGAGGGCCGGGCACCTGGGCCTCCTAAGGGGTCGAGACACCTGGCTTCCGTAGCGGGGCGGGGGGGGGGATACGATGCCGGAATTTGTGGGTTTTGGAAGCTGTTTGGGAACCGCAGGGAAAGCAGGCGCGAAGAAAATTGAGGACTCCTGGCCTAAGCCGGGGAAAGGCCGGGCGCTGGGCCATTCATTCCCACTGCAACTTTCCTGGGTTTCACTTTCATCGAGAGTAGTCCAGACCGGTTTCCCCCCCTCCCCATCCCTTCCCTTTTGGCTGGGTCTACAGTTTCCAGCCCCTCGGCTATTCCGATTTCCTTGACTCGGGGCATTATCTCCTACCCTCTCTCCACTCCACCCCTTCTCGGCTGTCTTTGTCCTAGAGAGCCTGGGGGGAGTAGAGTCTGGGGCGTGCTTTCTCCTCTGCCCCTCCCCCTCCTAGCTCTGGAGACCCCGGCTGGGGGGGGGGGAGTGGTGTGCCTATGCAGGTAGTGCTGGCGCGCTGCGGTCCCTCCTTCCCCCTCAGGTGACTGACCCAGCTATTTATCTTCAGCCTGGGTGGAGAAGGGCTGAGCCAAAGGTACCCAGAATGGAAGGAAAGTTCCACCCTACGCAGCTATGTGTCAAGTCATTTATTACGGGCCTACTATGTGCCACTGTGCTAGGGTTACAAAAAGAGGCAAAAGACATCCCAGTTTTCCAGGAGCTCGGTCTAGCGGGAGACAACCTACATGCAAACCACTGAGTGCAAAGAAGCTACAGACAGGAGAAATTGCTGATAAACTGGGGGGGGGGGGGATTAGCATTAAGGGGGAACAGGAAGAGCTTCTTGCTGAAGGTGAGATTTTGAATACTTGAAGGAAGCCAGGAGGCAAAGGGAGAGATCCAGGCCAGTGAAAATGCGCTGAGTCTGGGGAGATGTAGCTTTAAGGAACAGCTAAGGAAGCCAGTATTGGGGGGGGGGGGCCGCGCCCATCAGGTGGTGAGTTCCCCAAACAATTAGGAAGGGTTTCGGATGGCAGAATCCGGTTTTGCTTTGGATCGGGAGGTAATAGGGAGCTATTGGAGTTTCTTGAAGAGGGGAGTGACTGGTCAGATCTGCACTCTAGAAAGATTGCTTTGACAGCTGATTTAAGATGGACTGGAGTGGTGAGAGACTTGAGACAGCAGAAACTACCACCACCACCCCTCCTAGCCAGAGTTCAAGAGGGAGGTGATGAGGGCCTGCACTGGATGGTGAGTGTGTAGGAGAGAGATTATTTAGCAAGATCTCTTAACTAATATTGTGTCTCTTCAATTACATTGTGCCTTCTAGGTTCGGAAGGCTCAGCCCTGACATTTTCTGTTCTAAGTGTCCTTCCAGATCTGACATTCTGTGTTCTAAGGAACCTCTCAGCTCTGACATTCCCTGTTCTGAGGGCCCTCCCAGCTCTTACATTCCCTGTTCTAAGTTTCCTCCCAGCCCTGACCTTCTCTATTCTAGAGATCATAGAATCACAGATTTAGTCAGAAAGTAACTTATGTCTCAGCATATTTTTCTTTTACCTCTTTGATCTCTGCCACCAGCTTGTGCTCTTTCTCTTTCTCTTACTCTTAGGTAGGCCAGGAAGCAGCCCCAGGTTCTCCCCCAGCCTCCATTCCCTTACCTCTTCACTTGATCGAGAAAGTAATGGCCTCACCTTTGCTCTTCTCTCTCAGTGAGTAGAGAAAATGGGGCAAGTGTGGGGCGAGGTGAGTTATAAAGATACATTTTGAGATAGAAGGGCCCTTAGATCCAGTCAGACACCATTCTGCAGATGGGGAAAGTGAGGCTTACAAATGAAGTCACCTGCAGCTGGGCTCACACAGCTAGTCTGAGAAGGGCTTTGAACCCAAGTCTTGTGATTCCATGTCCAGTGCCTGCCCCATGCTATCCCTCGAGGTCTCTTAGAACTCACGTTCTCTGTTCTAGACAATCCTTTCCTCTGTGCCAGGCCCTTTGCTGAGCTCTAGGGGTACGAGTGTTCTTCTGTTCTGAGGTTTCTTCCTGGCTTTGACACTTTCTATTCTTCAGTTTCCTCCTGGCTTTTGTGCAGTCCCTCCTGGTTTCTGGTATTCTCTGGCCTGTTCATCCTCTGTCTCTTTTTTCTGTCTCTTCCCCCTTAGCTCCCTTTTCTCCCTCCCTCATGGCCTTCCTCTTCCTCAGCACACTTACAGAGCACCCACTCTGGGTAGTCCTTGACAGAGACTCTACCATGAGAAATGCCCTTGTCATGTGGCTGCTGTCCACCGGCACAGGCACTGGGCTGGACATGGTCCCTTTAGGTAGCTCTGAGTCAGGAGGAAGTCCTCAGCACATGGCTGGGGGAAGAGCGTTGGGGGCCCTGGATTCAAATCCCAGGTATTGTCACTTATCACCTATAGGGGCTCGGTTTCTTGATGTGTAAAATCCCATTTGGTCCTCTGGGGCCTCAGTTTCTTTACCTGTAAAATGATAATGGTCTCAAAGGTCCCTTCTCTCTCAAAGTTTATCATCCTAACTCCCCTAAGCAGGTTGAACCTTGTTATCCCCTACTCAATAAACTATCAGGCCCTCAATGTCAAATCTGTCATTCAGAGCCCTTCCCAACCTACCCCGCCCTACACACACACACTTTCTCACTCTCTGTCTCTCTCTTTCCATTCTCACACCTTATTTCCCAACACTTATCCTTCTATCCAGTGTCACTGGCTGTTCCATGAGCAAAACACTTGTCTCTCAGCTTCAGGCATTCTCTGGCTGTTTTCTGGTTCCTGGAATGCTCTCAATCTCTGCTACATTTTCCCTGGCTTTCTTTAAGTCCCAACTGAAATCTCACCTCCTACAGGAAGCCTTTCCCAACCCCTCTTAATTCTAACACCTTTCCTGTTGATAGCTTATTTGTATATATTTCTTTGCTCTCCCTCCGGGAGGGCTTGTCTTTTACCTTTGTTGGTATCCCGGAGCTGTCCCTGTGTAGGCACTTAATAAATGTTTATTGACTGGCTGACTTCCCCCCCCTTCTCCCACACACTGTTGATTCTTGTTTGTCCTTGTTTTTGTTCTTGAAGATGACCATGACATCAGGAAGGTGATGCCAGGACACACAAGTGAATTGGGTTTAAGTGAGGAAGGGCTGTGCAAAGTCACCAGCCTCACTCTTCCCTCCAGAGCCATCTAGGTCCAGTGGCCAGATATAGATCAGGACCCTGGATGCAATGGGAGACCTTGGCCTTTTTAAGCTAAGGTCTTTCCCAGGCCTTGGTTTGACTGGGGCAACACCCATTCAGTGATTAAGGTTAGGTAAGAAGCGAGGCAGAGAATGGCCTCTTTACCTAGTCCAAAACAAAAATTAATCTCGAGGGGAAAATCCCTCAGGATTTTGGTTGATTGATAGACAAAAGGGTGAGGTGTTTATTTTCCCCCTTACATGAGATTAGAAGAAAGACAAGGGCTGCTAGGTGGGGCAGTGGATAGGGAACCAGGCCTAGAGTTAGGAAGATCTGAGTTGAAATCCAGCCTCAGACACTTACTAGCTGCATGACCCTGGGCAAGTCACTTAATTCCATTTGTCTCAGTTTCTTCATCTGTAAAATGAGTTGGAGAAGGAAATGGCAAACCACTCCAGTATCTTTGCCAAAAAAAAAAAAAACCCAAGTGGGGTCACAGAGAGTTGGACACGACTGGAAACAACATCCTAGAGAAGAGAGACAAGGGGGAGACTAGGTTAGCTGCTCGGCACATTATGAGGTGTCTGTCACAGAGAGAGAGACTGAGCAAGCCAGCAGGGGACTCGGGGACACAAGCTCAGGCCTGAACTGTTACATTTTTAATGCTCTTGTCATCCCAGCCTCTAGAAAGTGGGCCGGGGAAGGGCCATGGGGGAGGAAACCGCCCAGCCCAGGCCCAAGCCCAGGCCCCTGAAAGCCAGGCCAAGGGAAACAGACAGTGAGGTTCCCTAAGCCAGAGGAGAGGGAGAGGCAGGGTGGGGCAGTGCAAGGACTCCCAGGCCCTGGGGTCAAATCCCAGCTCTGCTCCTTGGGACCCCCGTGATCATCGTGGCCAGTGGGACTTTAGTTTCCTCATCTACAACAAGATGGTGGTCAGAGCTGCTGAGCCAACATCCCTCCTATCTCTAAATCTAGGATTCTCTGAGACAGGCAGAAGTTTGGATGGATGGAAATGGAACAAAATCCTTGGGGTGGCAGGCAGAAATGCGAAGAGAAACAAAGCAAGTGAAGCCCCTGAGATGGTGACTGAGAAGGCTTGGGCCTGAGGCAGCTGGGGGGCTGGTGACCAGGCCTGGAGTCAGGGAGGCCTGAGCTCGAATCTGGCTTCAGACACTTCCAAGCTGTGTGACCCTGGGCGGGTCACTCAACCTCTCTCTGCCTCAATTTCCTCATCTTGAAAGTGGGGATAAGGATATCTACCTAATAGGGTTGCTGTGACAATCAGATGAGATAATCTTTGTCAAATTCCTAGTGAACCTTCAAGTATAATATAAATGCTAGCTTCTATTATTAGTATTGTTATCATTATTATTGTTAGGGCCTGACCTCCATGGGGGGGCCATACAGAAGTACAGAGACAAATGATTCCCACTGATGAGAACCCACACTGGGCCCCCACCCCCTCCATCCAGATTTCCGCTGCGGGGACAGGAGGAAGCTTATTATTGGCAATTAATTAATTAACGAGGTGGCTAAGCCAGCAGCAACTAAAGGATCTCAAAGCACTTTTGCTAAATGGGCTCAGCCTACATCCTGCCCCACCCCTGGGGGGGGACCCTATTTTACTAGGAGGCTGGGAGGGACAGTCTGGGCACCTGGGGCCCTGGAGTCAGTCTGGCAAGAACCCAAGCGTCTTACCTCCCAGCTCCTTCCTGGATCTAAAATTCTGAGCTAAAGTCCCTACCTGCCTAGGGACCCAGAGGTCTAGGCCTCCATGCATGGCCTTTCTTCTTAATGAGTCACCCATTTATCCAGACCTACATCCTCCAGTCCCAACCCCTTTATCAGAGACCAAAGGGGTTTGAAGCCCCAGTCTCACCTCTTTGGGGCCTAAACATCCTTACCCCCAAGGCCTTCAGCCTCCACCCCCACACCTGCACCAAGGCGTTCTCTCCCTGGGCTGGTTGCCAGTTCTGACCTTGGCAAACCATGCCTTTTTCCCTGGCCAGGCAACACAGTCGAGATGGGGGTGGCGGGGGAGACCAGGGACATCAGCTTCCCTCGCCTCGAGGCCCTGCCCCAACTGGTGACAGGTTTATGGGTATCAGCTGGGTCCCTGCACATCCTTCCTGGCCCATGGAAGCCCTCTCCCCCAGCCTGCAGGCTTCCTGCCAGACGAGCAGGGCCAGGGATCAGGATGCCTGGGTCCTGGCGGGACACAAAAGGAAATGAAGCTGTATCTTCTCTCGTTCCTCCCAGATCCAGGCCCTGAGTCCCCCTGTCTTCCCTAGAGCTCCCAACTCTTAAAGGAATCCTTTTCTGACTGCCCAGTCTCCCAGAGGTCTCTTCTCCTGACCTCACCTCTCCCTTTGAGCACAGGTTGCCTGGGTGTGGCCACGTTTTCCCTGGAGGGTGAGGGGAGCTTCTTGTCTCCCCAGTTGGGCTGACTTCCCTGTCCCACAGTGTGACAGAAAGGGGAAAAGTCGAGGGAGGCCCTGGCTGGGAATCGGATGGCAGGCAGCCTGGCTAGGTGACCCTGAGCAAAGCCCTTCCACTGTGGGCCTCATTTTCACCACTTGTAGAATGAGGAAGTTATCTGAGAACACCAACATTCTTCACCTTCACCTCCTCTGCTCAGAACCTCCCTAGGTTCCTGGTACCCAGAGAACCTTCTACCTGATCCAGCAGACGCCTGCCTCACTGCCCCACATCCCTCGGCCTGCTCCCCAAGTTCTGATTGTTGGCCCTTTGCCTCATCACAAATGGTCTACCATGTTATTTTGCCTCCCACAACTGTCTCAATTCCAGGGCCTTCTCTCTGTTAATTATTTCCTGTTTCTCTTATAGGTAACTTGTTTGTACACTGTTTGCCTGCTATCTCCTAGATTGTAAGCACCTTGAGGGCAGGAGCTGTCTTTTGCCCATTTTTGTATCCCTGGCACTTAGCACAGAGCCTGGCCTAGAGTAGGCTTTTGTAAATGTTTATTTTTTGTTTGTTTTGGGTTTTTTTTGGGGGGGGTGAGGCAGTTAGGGTTAAGTGACTTGCCCAGGGTCACACAGCTAGTGAGTGTTATGTGTGTCTGAGTCCAGATTTGAACTCAGGTCCTCCTGAATCCAGGGCCGGTGCTCTATCCACTGCTCCAGCTAGCTGCCCCTGTAAATGTTTATTGGTTGGTGGTCCCCGGAACTTGAAGACAGACTCTTCTTTCTGTCTGCCATAGTCAGTAGCTAGCACAAGGCTGGACTCAGAAGTGGTGCTAACAGCCTGAGTGAGGGAATGCATCTTCTCCAACACTGCCTCACTTTAGACCCTGCTTCCCCCTCAATGCTTCCATCTCTCTCTCCTCCCCAGGAGCCCAGAATGTCCAAGTTCAGATACCAGCTGAGGTTCGGGGCCTTCTGGGAAGTGATGTGACGCTCCCCTGCCACCTTCAGTCTGGGGAACCTCAGATTCGGGTGTCCCAGGTAATGTGGCTCCGCTGGGACAGGTACGGGGGCAGCCAGAGCGTGGCCGTTTTCCATCCCATACACGGTGCCAGCTTCCCGAATTCGGGGCCCTATGACCAGCGTATGTCCTTCGTCACTGGAAACTCCCGGGAAACTGAGGCGGAGCTTCGGGACGCCAGCCTGCTGTTGAAGGGGCTGAGGGCTGAAGATGAGGCCAACTACACCTGCGAGTTTGCTACCTTTCCCTGGGGGAGCAGCAAAGGAGCCACTTGGCTCAGAGTGCTGGGTGAGAGGGCGTGGTGCTGGGCTGGGGTGGGAGGAGGGGGAGGGGGTGGGGGGAGGGGGCACATGCTTTAGGGCTCAGTCCAATTCTGACTTAGTGTCCTAAGGGCTCTTTCTGCTCCTATGGTGAGTGGTTCCTATCCAAACAGCCTCCTACCTATGACAGGGTCTGGTCCGTGTTTCCAGGTCCTGATCTTTTGGGTTTTAAAGGTTGTTCTAGGTCAGTGGTTTTCAAAAGAGGGGGCCACAGATTTCGCCAGATGTGTCACAAAATCCTGGATGTTGTGTTATGATAGATAAAAGCAATTTTTTAGTTTTGCTTAGTCTAAAATTTACTTACCTGACCAAATTTTTATGGTTAAGTATAATTTTTGCAAAACAGAGTAAACTTGGCCTATATCACTTAAGGTCAAACCTCAAAACATATCAGACCTTGAATTTGCAAAGATGTCAACAAACACGGCTGTTCCTATTGAAGGGAAGTGAGCACTCGTGTCTGCTGGCCCTCCTCGAGGGCCCCATCACATTCTGGGTGTCCCTATTTCTCACAGCTAAAAATATTGTGCAGCCTAGGAGCCGAGGGTCCTTCCAGCCCAGACATATGCATTCTGAGAGCCCTTCTGGCCCAGTCACACAATGTTCTGTGTTCAGTATGTCGAGCACCCTTCAAGCACTGCTGGGCACGGCAGCATTAGTAACTGGGGCACTGTGCCTGGTACATAATAAGGGCTTGCTAAATGTTTTTTCAATCATTCATCAGCATCTGGAAGAGAGGTGGGAAATGGGAAGATCAAAGCCTTAATACCACCTTCTCCTTTCTCTGTCCTCCAGCTGAGCCGAAGAACCATGCGGAGTCCCAAGAGGTGACGTTGGGTCCGGACCCAACGCCCATGGCCCGATGTGTCTCCACGGGGGGACGTCCACCCGCCCGCATCTCCTGGTTCTCTCCCCTGCTGGGCGAAGGCACTGAGGCCAGAACAGCCGGGCCTGTGCCTGGCACCTTCACAGTCACCAGCCGCTTCACCCTGGTGCCCACCCCTCAAGCAGATGGGGCAAAGGTCACCTGTAAGGTGGAGCACGAGACCCTCTCGGAGCCTGTCCTGATTCCCCTCACCCTTTCTGTGAAATGTGAGTGGCCTGCTCCTCCCATAGTCCCTCTGCTAACCATCTTTTCTAGGCTTGGGAGTCGGCAGATATTATCCACTCGTCCCCCAGTCCCTTCCTGCTCTGAGCCCTGGGCACTGTCTGTGTCAGTGGGTCCCTAAAAGATCAAACGAAATGCCCTCCTCTGCCATTCTGAGTCCCTCTCTCCTTGCTGCGTCCCAGCAGTGTCCCGACACTGAGCCCAGACCCTTCTTTTCTACCTTTCATCTCCCCTAGACCCCCCTGAGGTCTCCATCTCCGGCTACGATGACAACTGGTTTGTTGGTCGAGTTGAGGCCACCCTCAGTTGTGACGCCCAGAGCAACCCTGAGCCCACAGCCTACGAGTGGAGCACGTGAGTCCTGGCTGAGGCGGTGGGCTGGGAGGGGGCACCTGCTTCCACACTTCAACCCCAGCCATTTTATCTGGTTCTTCAGCCTCTGCTGGCAGATCCTCAGAAAGGAGCAGCCAGTCTCACTTCAAGATACCTCTGACTGTTGGGAAATCTTTCCCCTCTACCAAACCTAAATCTGCTCCTTTGTAACTTCTCCCTATTGTTCCTAGCTGAGCCCCCTGGGGCCATCACGGGTCAGCTCACCCTTTAGACTAGGAGGACAACTATCATTCCCCCCTCCCCCACTGCTTCTCTTCTCCAGGCCCTTAGTCGCAGGGAGACCCTTTCCTTTTGGCTCTCCATTTTATCGGTGTGCTTTCTAAAGCTGGTGCCCGGAACTGACCCTTGTCCTTCAGGGGAGGTCTGACCAGGGAGGAGTCTAGCCCCGACTACTGCTATGGAAGCCCCATGTGCCATTAGCCTTCTCGGCCTCCACGTCACTACTGACTTGTAGGAAGCTTGGAGTCCACCAGAACCCCCAGATTTTTTTCAAAGTAATGATTAATGCTTAACAAGGCTCCTATCTTATGCTCGTGAAGCTGATTTCTTTTGACTCCCCGGGGAGGACATTTATCTCCTGCTCTGGCTTTTTAAGGTATTTTTGTCTCTTTATTCTGTCCGGCCACATGTGACGCACACAATGCTATCAGCACATGCTGCAGGCTCCTCTACCCAAATAACAGACAGCCCGGAGCCAAGCACAGAGACCCCTAGGGCACTCTACTGGAGACCTCCAGCCACTCGATGAGTTTGCCACTTCACACCCCTCTGCTTTCATCCAGCCCCATGTATCCAAGTTTTCCATGAAAGTAGCATGAGATACTTGATCCAACTTTGGTTTCTGGGTCTGGTTACCCTTTCAGAAAAGGCCACGAGGTTCACTCTGGGGCTGGTTCTTCTTAGTAGTCAAAAGTTTTCTTCTCTAGATGTTAATGTTCCTTTAATGATATCAAGGACCCACCCTCCGCCACCCCCCCCAAGATCTGAGGCTTTGGCAGGGATACCCGAATCCCTGCAGAGGAGAGGAAAGCGTGCCTGAGAAGGCAGGACCTGGTGGCCAGATGCCTGGGTCTCAGAGGTGTGGGAGCCTGGGACTGGGGGGCTGGATTCTAGAGTCCCTGAGGCAGAGGGAGGGGGAGAGGGGCTGACACTCACAAGTCCCTCACTTTCCCCCAACTCTAGCACCATGGGCTCACTCCCCCCAACAGCTGTGGCCCAGGGACCTCGGCTCATCATTCGCTCGGTAGATGAGTCAGCCAACACCACCTTCATCTGCAGCGTTGCCAACGCCGTGGGCACCAGTCGTGCTGAGCAGACCATCCGAGTCAGAGGTAAGGGGCCCTAGGGAGCGGGGAGCCTTCACCCTGCAGTCTGAAGTTTGGGGGGTGGGGGATATAGGGATGAAAGGTGGGACGAGGAGGAACAGCCCGAGGATACTCAGAGATGCCATCCAAAATGCCAGCACAGACCCACTGTCACAGCATGTTCACAATGATCCCAGAGATGCCAAGGCCAGAGCTGGTATTGGAACCCAGGCCCCGTGCCTCCCTGGCTATCCCTCCTTCTGCTGACCCGCCCTGCTCCCTCTTCTCTGGTTTAGGGATTCATCGTGTGTCTTTCTTGGCCTGGCTTTAGGGGCCTGGGGCTGGGCTGAACTGGGATGATTTTCTTCCCCCACTTCCTCGAGGCTGTGACTGCAAGAGCATTAAAAATGTAACAGCAGTCCAGCCCTGAGCCAGGATCTGTCCTTCACGGGTCCTCTAAGTCTCCCTGTCCCTCTGTCTCAGCGGATTCTTACCTCAGAGCCAAAAGGCACCTTAGGGGCATCTAACCCAGCCCCCTTCTCTCATAGGGGAGGAAACTGAGGCCTCTTATCCAAGGCCACGCTGGTAGTGAATGACAGAGGTGGGATTTCAGCTCAGGCCTAGGCCTCCATGCCCAGTATTCTTTCCCCAGCACCATGCTGCCCAAGGGCCCCACATCCAACACAGGCCCATCCCAGATACCCTTACCATGGTAAGGGTACAAGCAACCACATGGAGGAAGGGCTAAGTGAAAATGATGCAGTATGAGGGAGGAAGCTAGAGAGGGACAGAAACCCCATTGCAGACATACCACAAGGAACAAGTTTTATAGACACAAGCAAAAATGTAAACATACCCACAGACATTCACGTGGGAAAACTCTGCCCCTCCCATTTTGTCTTTCCCTCCCCCTCCCTTTTCTCTCAGGCTCTCTCTCTCTCTCTCACACACACACACACACACACACACACACACACACAGAAATATTTATTCAGAAATGTTGTCACAAAGGCATGCCCTCACAGACATAACATGGAGAAATTATCACCATCCCCCAAGCACACCCCCTATGGTAAGAGCAGAAATGTTCTAAGTCTCTCCCGGATGCAGACTAGGCTAGCTTTCCCCTAAAATAAAGGCTTAGTTGGCTCTGAGGGCTAAAGACCAAGGATATCAATCAATCAACATGAAACACCTAATATGCTGTTAAGCACTATGCTGGAGATGCAAGGTAGCCAAAGACAGCTCCTGCCCTCGAGGAGTTTACAGCCTAATGGCTGTAGCTTCCCACTGGCCTAAGTGAAAAAGCCTTATGGGGCTCCCCCCTCGGGCATCCGCCAAGTAGACCATCCTGGGCAGCACTGAGGCAGTGAAGCTCCAGCTAACAACTACCAGACTGGCCTTGGTTAGCCCTGGCCTATTGTGCCCCCTATAAAAGAAATACTTAGAAACATCAGCAGGAACCCCCAGTCACACTGTCACACAGAGACGGCACCTACAACCCAGAGATACGTTGAGAAGATGTAAGAGGCGTCACATAAAGACAGCCACATACCCAGCCGTACACACACTTGTAGAAATCCAGCTCTGGAGGAACCTGTCTACAGGCACCTCCTCAGGGATACATACAGCCCCATCCTCAGACACAGCCCTACAGGCGGGGTGCTAGAGCCAGCCTCTACTGGCCTATGAGAGCTCCACCTTAAAAACTGGCAATTAGGGGCAGCCAGGTGACGCACTGGGTAGAGCTCTGGCCTTGGAGTCAGGAGGACCTGAGTTCAAATCCATCCTCAAACACTTACTAGCTGTGTGGCCCTGGGCAAGTCACTTAACCTCAGTTTGCCTCAGGTACCTGAGGTTAAAAACATCACCTACCTCCCAGAGTTGTTGTGAGAATCAAACAAGAGAATATTCATAAAGCGCTTAGCACGGTGCCTGGCATAAACAAAGCAAGTACCATATACATGTTTATTCCCTTCCCTAAATCTGGAGACACAGGCCTAGGCCATACTTGCCAAGAGGCCTGCCTCTGGAAGTCCATGCCCCCTCCCCATTGTGTCTGAGGGCTGTCACTGGGATACAGCAGATTAGGTGGTGTCTTTGCTGGCCTCTCTGAATTGGGGGAGGGGGTGAGAAGTGGTGCATGATGGGTTGCATGTTGTGGGAGGGGTGAGAGTTCCGATCGCCAACTTCCCTCCTGCCTCTTCCCAAGATTGGCGTCCATGATGCCTGTTCCATCACCTCCCTTTCTTCTTCTAGCTTTATCCTTCCTCTTCCTCCTCCTCTTCCCCTCAGTGGTCCTCGTCCCCTTTCATTCCATTAGCATTTGTATATATTTACCATTCCCCAAAAGTCCAGTGCAGTGGAAAGGGACCTGGATTGACCAGGAGAAGCCTGGGTTCTAATCCCACCTCTCATCCTGACTTACTGTAACTTCAGGAAAACCCCTTCCCCCTCTAAGGCACTGTGAGTGCCATAGCATCGGCTGCCACTAGAGGAGCTATGGTGTCATGTTGATTCCCTTGTAGATGCTCCCAAGGCTCTCTGGGAGAAAGTGATGGCCAAGGGTCCTTCCTCTCTTTCCTTTCCTCTGACCTACATTGTACCATCCCATTGTCTCCCCCCAACCCCATCTCTCTTCTGTCCTCTTCCTCCTTCAAAATCTGTCTCTCCTCTCCAATATTACCCCTTCTCTCCTGCTCTAGTGCCCTCTCCCTTCTATCATCTTCATGACCCTGTGCTGTCTCCTTTCTCCTTATCCCTTTTCCCCCATGCTGTCTATCTCCCTTTTTCTTTCCTCCAATTCTTCTTTTATATCTCTCTTCTACTACCCTCCCAACCTTTCCCCCTCCTACCCTTTACCTTTCTTCCCTTCAAACCTACCTTCTCCTCTTTCCTGCCTTCTCTTCCTCCAATATTTCTTCTATTTCTCCACTCTTCCATATCATCTTCTCTGTTCCCAAAACAAGCTTTCTGCTCCCTGCCTTCTCTACCACCCTACATCCCCTTTCTCCTTTTTCTTAGCCCCAGCTGCCTCCTTTCTCCTCTCCCTCATGTGCTCCCATGTCCCATTGTTTCCCCCTCCTGACCCTGTCTCCTTTTTTTCTCTCTCTCCCCCCTGTCCACCCCTTTCTCTCTCCCCAGACACCCCCAGGGCCTCGACGGGAGATGTAGGTCCAGTGGTGTGGGGGGCCGTGGGGGGGACCCTGCTGCTGCTGCTCTTGGCCGGGGGGGCCATGGCCTTCATTCTGCTGAGGAGACGGAGAAGGAAGAGCCCTGGAGAAGGAGGAGCTGTTGGCTCTTACGACCCCAAGACCCAGGTCTTCGGCAATGGGGGGCCAGTCCTCTGGGCCCCCCCAGCCCCTGGTCCAACCAAGGAGGAGCAGGAGGAGGAGGAAGAGGAGGAGGAGGAGGAGGGAGGGCTCATGCTGCCCCAACCAGGGGCAGAGGATGACATGGAGTCCCAGCTGGACGGCTCCCTCATCTCCCGGAGGGCAGTCTATGTGTGACACCAGGACATACCTACTTCCCACCCCCCTGGAGAGACCTGAGTTTGGCTCACACCATCATGCACACCCTCTTGGACTGTGGCCAAGCAATCACACACATACACCTCTCCTCCTCCTACCTCCCTCAGGGATCCGAAACCTGAGGGAAACACTGGATGGGCTGGTCAGACTGGAAAGACACGGGAGCTCATCTGTCACCCCTTGGTTCCTGGAATTGGAGGCGGGCCCTGGCTGGGACCTGGGGAAGTGGGGGAGAGGGTGGAGGGGGTGCATTTAATACATTGGACTTGGCTTCTCTACCTCCTGTGCTCAAAACAAAATAGGATATGGAAGGGGAGCTTTAGATCACCCTTTCTGTTTTGTCACCCCGGGGGAGACTGGGGAGGAGACTCAAAGGGACTATATTTTCATATAGGGTTTCTCCCCACCCCACATCCATCCCCCTCCCAAGGGTTCAATAAAGGACCTTTGAGGAAGAATGAAGGGGAGTTCTGTGATTTGTCCCATTCCCAAAGTGGGGGGAGGGGTTGGTGTGCAGATCTGCAGGTCCCTGAATGAGGGTTGGTGGACTAGATTCTGGGAGTGGGGGAGGCATCCCTGAGTTAGGGAGGTTGGGGGCTTGGATACCTGGAGGGAGGAGTGTGGTGGGGCCAGACATTTGGGTCACTGCTGATTCTCTGAATAGGCCTTGGAGTCCTAAGGAGGGGACAGGATGCCTGGGACTCATTAAGAAAATGGAACCTGCTGGGAAGAGGGTGGCAGCTGGATGCCTGAGTCCCTGGAGGAGTGATGTGGGGTGGGGGCGGAGAGGGGGTGTCTAGACACCTGGGCCCATGAAAGGCGGGGAGGGCAGATGCTGGAATCCCTGAGAAGGGTGGTGGCTTCCTATCCTCACTCCCCTTTTATAAACACGCATCAGAGACTGCTCAGCCTCTCCCTTCTTTGTCTTTCTTTCTGTTCTCTCCCAAGTCATGTCAGGGTGGTGGCAGAGAGGACTTTGAATGACTCACCTCAGGCCTGGAAGGTCCTATTAGCTCAAGCTCCTGGAATGGGGGGAGGGGAGATTTTCTTTTTAGGACCCTGGCTCTCTAAGTAGAAGAGAGAGAGGAAGGGAAGGGGGATTGGGGAGAACCCAGAAGGTGATGTGAATTGCCCAAGGTCACAAATGGTGAGTCACACAGGCAGTTCTGGGGTGGAAAGATAGGCCTCCTCATTCTACATTAAAGTGAAATTCAAATGTCAGAGACCTAAGAATACAGACTGGCCGAGCTGGCACATTAGAGACGGTCAAATCCAGCCCATTTACAGATGGGCAAAATGATGAGCAGAGAGGGTAAGTGATATCTAAGGTCACCCAGTGAGCCAGGGCAGAACTAGGGAAGGGAGAGGAGGGACTGAGCCTTCCTCGGTGCCCCCTCTCCCACCACGGCCCCCTCACTCTCCTCCTCTCTTTCTGGCAGAGTCCCGTGACACAGCAGGTGCTGGTGCCACCGGTGGTATCATTGGTGGCATCATCGCAGCAATTATCACTCTGGCCGTGGCTACCACTGCTATCCTGATCTGCCGGCAGCAGCGCAAGGAGGAGGAGCTACGTGGAAGACCTGAAGAAGCGGACGAAGAGTGAGTGACTCTAAAGGGGGCTGAAGTATGGTGGGGACAGCCCTGGTCTGGCTTCCAGGCCTGGTTCTAAGAGTGACACCCTTTATGACCTCAGGCAAGTCATCTCCCTTCTGTCTTTGGTTTCCCCTAGCATAAAATGGCAGCTGGGTGATACAGCGGATAGAGCACTGGGCCCCGAGTTCAGATCCGACCTCAGACACTTAGACTAGCTGTGTGACTCTCAGCAAGTCACTTAACCCCTCTTTACCTCAATTCCTCATCTGCAAAATGGGGTCACTGGAGCAGGAAATGGCAAACCACTCCTGTATCTTTGCCAAGAAAAGCTCATGGACTTTTTGTTCATGGGGTCATGTTGAGCTGGACATGACTGAACAATAACAGTGTAAAATGAAATGGATCAGGGTTGGTTTCTAAGACATTCTAGGTCCAATTCAACAAATATCTGTTAAAAAGACTGAGCTAGGTGCTAGGTGTGTAAAGGCAGAACTAGAAGTTCCTGCCCTCAAGGAACTTACATTCTACCAAGAGGATACTGCATCCATACAGATGAGGAAATGTGAAGTAATTTGGGGGAGGAAGAAAGCACTGACTACTTGGGAACTTCACAGAAACCCTGTGACCTGAGGGGAGCCTTCCAGAAGATGAGGGGAAGTGTGGGTTTCTGACGAGGGAAATGGTTTGTGTGGTGCAATGTTAAGTTTACGGCTTAGCACTACGAGGTTCAGCTTGGCTACGATGGAGATTGTGTGAGAGGAAGAATGTGAAATAAGATTTAAAAGGAGAGACGCTGGACAACCAGACCGGGGGCTTGTATGGTATGCGAGAAGCAGCAGAGTTGATGAGGATTTTTTGAATGGGGGAATGGGGCCTGTGAGATAGGCTGACCTGAACCTTACAAAGCCTCTTGTCAGTTCTGTGGAGGATAGTTTAGAGAGAGGAGACTCTGGAAGCTGGGAGGAAAATTAGTCTACTTAAGTAGTCCAGACCCCAAAGGATTCAGGCCTCAACTGTGGGAGTAGAGAATGAGAACAGGTGTGACCGATGTGGTGATTCTGTTGACAAGACAGGAGGACTGATTGCTTTGAGGAGGTGAGAGAAATGGAAGGGCCAACACCTGTTCCAAAGTCACAAAGGGGGTGGGTAGGATAGCGGTGTCTTCAAAAGGGAAGACTGGAGGAGAGGGCAAGCTCAGGGAGCAAAGTAAATGATGTTTTGGACATGCTGGGTTTGAGACGGCATGAGAACATCTGGACGGAGATGTCTACTGGCTCTCAAGTCAGGAGGTAGTCTGTGCTTTGCTGGAGCTCACCCTGGGGATCTTCACTCCTGCGGTGGAAACCATAACTCGTTCTGAGTTTCACGTCTCACAGCGTCCTATAAATCCTCCACAGCTGGGTTCTACATAATCAGATTGCCCAACATCGCATGGGTAGCTACAGAGCAAGGAGGCTATCTGTCTGCTCATTATTCTTTGTTTCCTGGAAAAGAGAAGACTGGGGAAAGCAGGCTGAGGGAGATGGGACACGATGCCCGCAATCAAGGCTCTGGTCTATAGAAAAAGGATTCGAGGTTCCCTCCCCAGAGGGAAGATGCCAAGAACAGTAGGTAGAGGTTGCAAAGGGGCAATTATAGGCCATTCCAAAATGGAATGTGAGGTCAAGGGCTACCACGCACTGGAGGTTTTCAGGTAGTGGCTTAATCTGGTATGGTGAGGATTCTTTTCAGATAGCTGCCAAAGCCCCTGCTAACATTCTGTGATTCTATAATATGATTAGCCCACAAATCTAACATCCATCCAGAGACTGCTTCTGACCAATTTGTTCCCAATATGCCCCTCTCCGTGGGCCTTTGGGAAACCCACATCTCCAGTTCATTGAAAATTGCTCTTCCATAACTTGCTGGACACTTGTCACCAAATCTAACACGATTTGGGAATTAGGATGACTTTCATTCTAATCTTGCCTCAGAAACTTCCTAGCTGTGTAACCCTGGGAAAATCACTTGACCTCTCTGAAACCTAACCAGCAAAATGGAGAGAATACCAGGGCTATCCTTTGATGATGTACGGAAAGTACTTTGCAGACTTTTAAGCACTCTATAAATAACATCAGCTAATACTGTTATACTGGCAATGTGGCTGTTCCCAGAAGTGGGCCGTGTACCTCCTGCCATATTTCACTCTTCTCTTTACATGGAACCTGTTATTTCCATGTCCACCCTGCCCCCTACACAACCCTCAGAGGAGGCCTCCTATACAAAACATTCTTTGGATACTATATAGTAAGAGCGTCAAACTCATACAGAAAAGGTGGCTGCTATACTGCATATAAGGCTCCGTGTGGGCCCCCTGGAGCTGTGGTTTTAAAATGTCGTGTTATCTGTTTTATTGTATTTTTATTTATTTTGTTAAATGTTTCCCAGCTGTATTTTAATCTGGTCCAGGTCATGCTACAGAGTGGTGGGATGCATGTTTGAGGCCTCTGCTATGCAGCGTTCAGTGATGTGCAGCCACACACTACCACCAGAAGAATACTGGTATTAAAAAGATGAAGCTTGGGGTTGGGAAGAGAGCAATGCAACTTCCTAATCAGATCCACTTCATTCCTCCCGTGTAAATGTCAGCCCAAACCACTGTCCATTTTCTGTCTTTCCAAGATCTACCAGCACACTTTTTTTTGGCTGTTTGTTTTGTTTTTTTGTTTTTGAGGCAATTGGGGTTAAGTGACTTGCCCAGGGTCACACAGCTAGTAAGTGTCAAGTGTCTGGTCTGAGGCTGGATTTGAACTCAGGTCCTCCTGACTCCAGGGCCAGTGCTCTATCCACTGCACCACCTAGCTGCCCCCCAGCACACTTCTTAGGTTGAACATTTAGGTGCCTCTCACAGTCTTGAAAACGAGCATTTCTCACCTCCCTATTCTTCCTGTGAAGACAGGGAGACCAAACTCCTTTGAGGTATTATCGATCCCATTCAGGGGTTTCTTGTAATAATTTCTTTATGTTCAAATGCTTCCTATTGTGGTCCACTTTTTAAAAATATATTTTTATTGATGCCTTATTTTTTTATATAACCAAAATTTCTCTCAGCATCCCTTCCTCCCCATTCCAGAGAGCCACAGATAGTTATTTTTAAAGACATAAAGTCGTCGTTCTTTCCACTTGTGTTGCTGTAGTCATGTCATATATTGTTTTCTTGGCTCCGCTAACATCACTTTGCATCGGCTCATGTATTCACTCTATGGTCATCTTTTCTTACAGCACAGTAATATTCCATTACATTCATATGCCACACTTTATTTAGCCATTTCCCAATTGACAGGCATCTACTTTCCAATTCTTTGCTATCACAAAAAGTATTGGTGTAACTATTTTGGTACATGGGGACTTTCTTATCAATGACCTCCTAGGAGGATAAACCTAGTTGTAGAGTCTCTAGGTCAAAGGAGACAAAAATTTTAGTCACTTTATTTGATTAATTCTAAAAATTAATTTCCAAAATGTTTGTAATGATTCATAGCTTCACCAACATTGTACCCATGTGCCTATCTTCCCACGACCTCTCCAACATTGACTATTCCCGTCTTTTACATCTGTCCGTGTGTAGGGTGTAAGGTGAAACCTGAGGGTTGTTTAAGTTCCCTCATTAGCAATTTGAAGTATCCTTTCATAGTTACTAATAGTTTGTAATTGTTCATTATCCTTCGACAACTTCACTATTGGACAATGGCTTTTGTTCTATTGGTTAATTGTTTATATAGCTTGGACATCTAACCTTCATTTAAAAATTCTGATACAAAGATATTTCCTCTATTTGACTGATTCTCTCATGCTTGGTGCATTAATTTTGTTGGTGCAGGAACTTTTAAGTTTCATGTAATTAAAATCATCTATCTTATCTTCCCTTATCCTTTAGTTATGAATACATCTCCTACCCATAGCTATGAAAGTTAATATGATCTGTTTCTCTTCTAATTTTTTCTTAATGTTATGATCGTGAATATTAAGATCTCATATCCATGTAGAATGTATTGTGGAATATAGGTGGTATTTTAACTCTAATTTCTATCAGACTCCTTTGCAGTTTTCCCAGCAGTTTTTTATCAAATGGAGTTCTTTCCTACATAATTTATTAAGCACAAGATTAAGTTCCTTTTTTTTTATCACTTGTCTATTCTAGTCTATTTCTCTACCTTTTTAATTTTTAAAGCATTATCTGATTATTTTGATGAGTGTGAAGTCTAGTAGCTCATCTCTATCTTTTTTCATTATTCCCTTTGATATCCAGATCTTTTATTTTTCCAAACAAAACTTTTTTACAATGTTACTGAGTTCTGTAAAGTATCTCTTTGATGATTTAATTGGTATTGGTGGTATTGCCATTTTTATTATATTGGCACAGCCCATCCATGAGCAATGAATATTCCTCCAGTTATTTCAGTTCTTTGCCTTTTAGGGGCACTTTGTAATTGAATCTATACAAACTCTTCTTATGCCTTAGTAGAGTGATTCCCAGATATTTTATGTATTTTGTAATTATTTGGAATACAATTTCTCTTTATATTAATGTCTCTTGGCATTATTATTATTATTATTACATAGAAATGTTGGGTTTTGAGGGTTTATTTTGTAGCCTAGAACTTTCCTTAAGCTATTAATTGTCTCAATCAGCATTTTTACAGATTCCCTAGACTCTGTAATATTTCTTGGCTTAATGCAACCAATACAATGTTATCTGGAAACAGGGAAGCCTCCCATGATATATTTCACCAGGTGTTAATGGTCAGAAGTTCAAATTCATCTCTATTGCAATATCTTTCAAGGAATCTGATATAATGTTTATATTTATATAATGTATATATTTACACTTTGTTGGAAGAGAGTCTTTAAGGTGGCATTTGGTTCTACCAAGCCTCGACAAATAATTAGCATGGTGACATCTTGTATTCTCATCTCAGGATTCCAGTCAAGATGACTACCTAAACAGGAGACAGACCACCCAACTC